TCTGTGGCCCCTAAATGAAGAACGACAGCGTGTCCCGCTGGGAGCCCCGAAGCTCTCAGGGCCTTCTATCGTGACCAGTACAACACCCTGAGTGGGCTCTAAAGCAAGCCGGGCACTTGCTCTCTCCTTACTCCCACCCACTTCCCGCGGACCTCCGTCCCTCCCGGCCGGCGGTAAGGCCGGAGGCTCTTACAGGAGGACGCAGAGCCTGCCTGCCCGCCCGCAGTGGTCTGGATTCCACCGCGACTGCCCGTGCACGCTGGCAACTCTGGGCGATGAGGCTCTCTGGGCAACTGACAATTCTTCTTTCTGGAGCCTGGAGAATAGTTCCAGGTTTATAGGATAAACTAGGGAAGGAAGCCCGTGAGGCTGCTCTGAAGATTTGGGGGCCCTGCCCCACATCCTGAATGGAAACTCAGCCCTTTTCCACGGAGCTCCTTCCCCAGCTTCCAAAGAAAGAAAATAGGCATTTCCCAAAGCTTGGAAATAAGTCAGCCTCTGTCTAGGAATACACCCAGGGATACGTCTGGTGTGGGGAGCAGGGCGAAAAACGCGCTTCCTGCTTATGCATACAAAGTTCTTCAGAGCTGCGTCATTTCTAATAGGAAAAAATTGACCGAAAAAGAGTGTGTATAAGGGTTTGGGTGTGACAGCTTTGCATACCGGTTCACTGAAGAGAACAAGAGGGACCACAGTGCACTCTGTGGGAAGATGTCCCTAGTGCAATGCTGACTGCACAAGTGCGCATGCAGTGAAATTGCTTTTATGTCGAAAAAATATACCCACACTGTGTGCCCGCAGCCCAAGGACATTAAGGCTAAGAAGAGTCCGGCAAACTGGTAATGGGGCAGGGGTGGTTGTGGGGCCAGAATGCCAGGGACGCTTTCCCATTTTATACCATTATGAGATACTGAACTGTACTTTTTAACAACAAGAAGTATTGGTTTAATCAGCAAAAACAATAAAAAATATTCCCATTCTGAACATAAAGTGGTATTCTGGGTAGATGCAAAGTACTATAGGCCCTCAGAGAAAAGCCACCAGGGTAAAAATTACCTTGTCATAAACACACACACACACACACACACACACACACACACACACACACCCCTATATAGCTTGAGAAGAAGGAAACACCAGGTCTAGCTCTCAAATGCTTTATGCCCAAGCCCCCCATTCTCTCCACAGATGATAAATTTCCACCTCACTCCCCACTTCATTCCTAACTCCTCCCACATCAATATTCTCTGCAAATAATGATGAGAAGAATGCAGAGTTGATCTTTATGGATCATTTAGCATGTACCAGGAACTTACACATGTGGTTTCCTTTCTTCCTCATGGCATCACTGTAAGGCAAGGATTCGTACTATTCCCACTTGCGAGATGCAGAAACTGTGGCTCAGCTCAGGAATTCAGCACAGGCAGCATCACCCGCAGGCCCGGAGCTGTGACCGATAGTCTGGCATCTTTCTGGTGCTAAGTTACTGCTGAAGTTCTCCGGCCCTGGGAGAAGCTGTAGGTCTGCCATCTCTCTCTGCCTCCAGCCTCTCTTCTCCATCCACGCTAGCCATTGCCTTCTAGGTACAAGGGGCCAGTCTACCTCTGAGGAGTCCTAAGTCAGACGTAGTATAGACTCTGCCTTCTCTCAGAAAGATAAAAAGATAAGCACTCAGGCTCCACGTTCACCCAGATGCAGTGCTTGTGGGAGGCAGAGCCCTAGGCCTCCCCTTACCAGCAGCCTGAGGCACTCTTCTCAATGGGACACTCTAGAAGCTGGGCACAGAGCTGGTGCAGTGACAGACTGCTGCCCAGCCTCTTTCTAGGACCTCTCATGCACATTTGCCAAAGCTGTGCCATGGTCAGTCCTCCAAATGCACTGGGAGGAGCCAATGGGGCAACCCTGAGTTTTACAGTGGGGGGCGGGCATTGTCTTAGTTACTTTTCTCATTGCTATGACAAAATACCCATACCCACAGGTAAAGAAGCAAAGGTTTATTAGTCACAGTTGGTACAGGTTTCAGCTCAAAGCTGGCTGGCTCCAGGGCAGGGTGGCACGGCAGACAGGTACCCGGAGGAGAAACACTTCATGGTGGGCAGAAGGCAGAAGAGCATGCAAGGGGCCTTGACAGTGTCTTTCTGCCCCTTTTATGTTCTATTAGGCTACAGAGCTTAGGGCGGTGCCAAGGCAATCAGTGGGCTGATTTCCTAATCGCCCCCTCCTTAATCCCAGCATCCTAATCCTAGCATTGCACCATGAATCAGTCACATACTCTAGATCCAGCTGCTCTGAAGAAGCTTCGTCTATGACCATACAAGGATCTGGGAGAATATCTAGATTTTTCTTTTTTTTTTGAAACAGACAGACCTTGAGCTCACCATGTACCTTAGGCTGACCTTGAACTCACAGTGATCCTTCCACCTCAGCCTCCAGACTGTGCCATCATGCCCCAGCTTGGAGAGGACACTTAAACATGAGCCGTAACAGGCATCCTCTGACCCCCATGAGGCCTGAGGTGAGGGTAGGAGATCCAAGCGAAGAGACTAAGATCCACAAGGCCTTACGGGTGCCTGCATGGATGTCACACCTGCTTTCTAAGGGAACATAGGTGTCGACCTGGAGTTGTAACCTGGCAAACTGAATGGTTTGACAGCACCCACCAAAGTTAAATGTACAGGATCCTGCCACTCCCCTGGGTCCATGCCCACCGGAAACTAGCGTTTGTGCTCACTAAAAGATCTCTACAGGAATGCCAGTCACACCTTTATTTATCACAGCTGAACAGGGCAACAAAAGAATGAATAAGTTGGGTGTCCATTCACACAACAGAAGAGAACTACTCATACCCCTGGCCAAGCTGGTAAAAGAGGACAGACACAGGCTAACACACAAGGTCCCCATTATAGGCACAAGGAGTCTGTCGGGGTACAGGTCAGACTAGTGACACTTTGGGGATGACTGCTGACTTGGCATTGCTTCTAGAATGTTCCATAGCTTAGCCTAGTGGTGGTGTACACTTGGGGTCATGCGCATATGTAATAGCGCGTCACATTGTGCATGAGACATAAGTAAAATTCACTATTTGCAATTAGCACTGTAAAGAGAAGTTTAAAAACTATTTTAATTATATGGATTCTCATCAGGATAACTTCTCCAGATCTCTAGGCTGGGTGATTGGTGGAATTATGAAGAGATATTTCCTGATGTTGGAGCTCAGTTAAGCTATGGATACAACATTATGAAAAATAATTTGAAAGTTAATTCAAAATTCAAATGGACTTTTCAAACCACACAGAAGAGGCCTCGCAAATCCTAAGACTGTTAGTCCTAGGGCCAGCCCCACAGAGATGTCCTGACACCTTTCTCGACATTCTGACGGCTCCCTCCTCCTCCCTCCAGCCACTGACAACGGCTCCCCTGACCCAAATGCTTCAGCTCCTCATCCAGCAAGCCCCGTGGGGAGCTTCGGAGCCCAGGGCCTCCGGCTGCTCCTGTTCCTTCGAAGCAATGAGAGTCACCCCTGGCTGCGGGCACATCCTGTCCCCTGCCAGCAGGCTTCCAGGACGTTCCTGCTTGCATTAGCAGCTGCGGTGGGCATTGCCTGATACACGGTGGCCTGTCACCAGCGGCGCTCTGTGTGGTGAGGCTTCCCAAGCACTTGGCTGGACCCCAGCATCTTCTGGGCAGCTGCAGGGCTTCCAAGAACAGCAGGGGACAAGGAAAGGGGACTCCGAGGCACACTACGTCCAAGCTGAACAAGACACATCCTATGAGAAATCTGGGGCAGGACACCTGCAGCCCCAGGGAACGCCCACGCTCACCACCCCAGCAGCATGCACTTCACTGCTTGTCCCAGGCAGCCTCTCCAGCAACATAAAGGCCCCCTCCAGCCACGCACACCTCACCTCTGCTCCCCAAACAGAGAGCCGCTCTCAGTCTTCCCTACCTTTGCACCTGGCTCCCCCCACCTGAGAAGTCCTTTCTCCCACGCAGGATTCCTCCTCTTGCAGTCACAAGAGGGCAGGAGGCCTCTCCACTCACCCTGTTTTCTTCCACTGCTCTTGACCACTGCTCATTTGCCTGTCACCTTATGAGATCTTACGTGCCAGGAAATGGGTTAGCCTGTTATCTTTGAAGTCAATCTCCCAAAGCTTTCTGTAGTGAGATCTGGTTCCATGTCCACTTCACAAGCAGGAGAACTCACTTTGGAGATGTTAGAGCATTTGATCAGACCTAAGACAGTCTGCCTCGTGCAAAGGTTGGCTAGGAGATGGGAGTTAGAGCACCTTCCTTCTTGCACCAGCCTTGGACACGGCCCATGGTAGGTGCCTAAAACTTCCAGAGAAAGGGAGGCTGGAAGGAGTCAAGGACGGCAGCCACCTGTGAGTCTCGGTCACTGAACAACAAGCTACACTGCCCCCCAGGGACATTAGCTGCCATACCCGACTCTCCAGGCTGCTTCCAAAGACAGCAAAGTCACAAAGCTGAAGTCATGGAGTCCAGGGAGCAGGAAATTGAGAGCTCAGAACATGAGTCTCATTACTTCTCATTTTAAAGGCGGCCGTGAGGAGGGCAGAAGAGAGAGAGGTAATGAAGTTCCAAAGGCATGGGTAAGTCCCACCTTCAGGGGACTGTCACCTGGTTTGGCCCAAACAAGCAGACAATGCCCCATGGGCAAACAGCTGCTCATTCTTAATATCATGGCAAGTACCCCGAAGCCAGCCCACCAAGGGCTGGGCCAGCAGGACCCACACCAGAGTCCTAAGAACAGGCTGAACCCTTCCATAGAGAAGCAAGCGGAGATTTCCTCAGAAGGATCAGCTAACTTGGAGGCCCCAGCTCCACCCTTCCAGTAGAAAACATGGGGGTCAGACCCCCTGTTTTCCACAGCCAGATGAGCACTGGACATACGGGCGAGCACCAAGGCTTCTGATCGCCACCTGCCCCCACTGGAGTCCTCACCCTCCTGCCCAGGCCCAGATCAGAGGCCCAGTACTGACCAGTGCTATGTCCCACGTCCTCCCCTGGTGGCTTGGTCCAGCCTTGGGCCTTGTCGACGTGAAACAGCTTCAGATCATCTTCATCCAGAGCAATGTCCCCCCAGAACACAGCTAGAAAGAAAAATACACAATTGGATCAACGCAAGCTGGAGGTCCAGAAAAATGGGTTTACTAATGTCCCACAGGGCCCTGGGTGCTGGGGAATAAGCTCCAGAAAGGCGAGGCCCCACTCCAGTTTCCCCTGAGCCTAAGTGATGGGCTGCAGAGAGGAGTGGCAGATAATAATCACGCACATCAAAGCCCTGGGCTAGGAGCCAGGCACCACGAGCGATCCAGGAGCCGGGCACCACGAGCGATCCAGGAGCCGGGCACCACGAGCGATCCAGGAGC